ATCAATATCTCGCTTCGTAATCTCCATTCATCGCGATACGGTTTTTTCGATCTCATCAATATTCTAATAAAGAAAGAGAGTGATTTTATAACCGATGATATTTTAGTTAAAAATAATATTTTGGTCATACACTCCAAACAAAATATGAGGAAACCCAAAATGTATTACAATACACATGTTCCTTAGTCCTAGTGTAAACTAAAACTAAAATATTATTGTGTTCCGTGTTAGGACATAATCTAATTTTTCAATACTCTCTTTTTTTTTTTTTTAGATAAAAAATCGTTCAATACTTCAAGATCAGATTCCCTTAATCAAGTTAAGCATTTACAGCTGTACAATGTACACTCTTGTACCTGTCGATTATATGATCTTCGCTAAATCATCTCATTTACTTTATTGTTATTGTTTTTTTTTTTAAACCTCATTTAGTTTTGCTCTTTCTTAGATGATTGAAGAAATGGTTTCATGGACCAGATATACGTACGATGTGAAAGTGTAAGCAATTTTCACGTCATACAAATCGTCTGGTCATTTCCTTAATTCTCTGGTTTTTCCAAAGTTCCTTCCTTAAAAGAGTTCTATTTGCCGGACAACTTTTAAAAATAAATTAAAAGAATAGAAATATATAGCAAAACTATTCATCTTTTTTTTTTTTTTTTTTTTTTTTTTTTTTTTTTTTTTTTTTTTTTTTTTTTTTTTTTTTTTTTTTTGTGGAAGCCCCCTTGGCCCATTGGTTGACCAAGGGTTGATTAATGCTTCTACACCAAAAAGTCTGGGGTTCGAGTCCCAGGTATTGCGATTTATTAACAAATTTGCAGATTAATGGAGGCAAGTGTGCAAGAGATCTCCAGCGATGTACAATTATAGCCGTTCGCCAGGATTCTACGCAGAGAAGGAAGTGTAGCGAGGTCGTGGATCATTGAAGGTATTCATCAAGATTACGAAGAAGGAAGTGTAGTCTGTCGTGAATCTAGTAAGGGTCGGAAGGAATTGTCAGTTGTAGAATCGTCTATGTAACAGTTCTCATAATTTGCAATTAATAATAAATCTAGACGACAAAAAAAAAAACTATTCATCTTTTTACCTTTTATTTATACTTAAAACCAACTTATGTGCCTTTGGCAACATACAAAAAAGTGGTTGACTTAACAATTAATTATAGTAACACATATTATTGTATGAGATTTATTAGAAAAGGTGTGAAATTGTATGCAATATTCGTCACACATATATCTTCTTATCCTCCAATGTTTTCGTGTTTTCCAAGTTCATCCCTAAAAAAGTTATATTTATGAGACAACTTTTAAAAATAAATTAAATTTTTTGAAATATCTAGCAACTATACATGTTTCTTAGTATTACTATACTTGAAAACAACTTATGTGCATTGGCAACCTAAAATAGAGGTTGACTTAACAATTTATTATAGTAACATACAGTATATTATTGTATGCAATTTATTAGAAAAGATGTGAAATTGTATATATTCACGTCACACATATATCTTCTTGTCCTTTCATGTTTTTGTCTTTTCCAAGTTTCTCCCTAAATATTTATTTCTGGGACAAATTTTAAAATTTTAAAATTATAGAAATATCTAGCAACTATACATGTTCCTAGTATTACTATACTTGAAAACAACTTATGTGCACAACATAAAATAGAGGTTGACTTATCAATTTATTACAGTATTCCCGGTATAACCAACAGATTCTTGACCAATTAGGTTGTGAAACGTGGGTCCCAGAATCTGAAAAGATGCCGCCACGTCGGATAAAATGCATATAGCCTTAATAATGTCTAGGTTCAAGTTCAGTCCTTAAGGCTTTGTCTTCTTCATGGTTTCTTCAAGAGTGGTATTAGTATACTCATTCTTTTGATGTTTAATATGGCCCTTAGCCTTTTGCTTTGGCCAAGTTTTACAGAATCAAATTTCATATATATCATACGGTTCTGTGAGTAGACTTTCATCTAACTTTTTTATATATCAACTGGTACAACTAGATAATTTAACAGCGATATACAGTTGTCCGTAATAAAAAAACATTATATGTATTATCGTAATTTAATTTGATATTTTTAAGGAAGATAGTTATCAATCATACAAAGGTACTCTTTTTACATGTTCATACCTACTTAAATACTGAAAATATGTAGTACTTTACAAACAACTTTTTGTGAGTTTCAAGAACCTAGTTTTGTGCCATTTGATATACCTATAGCAACATTCTTTCACTAGATTTCAAGAAAAGAAAGTTGTAGAGACTTTGTTGGTACCATAATTCAGATTCTAGTAACTTGGAAAAAGTTGTAAGAATGATAAGGAGTCATGTGTAAACTAACTATATTATATTATGAATATAAGGCATATTTTGGAGAAAAATGTAGAAAAAGGCATATTATAATTTTTTTTTTTTGAAAAATGCCTATTGAGAATTACGAATTTATTTTGATCTTTTTATATTGTTTTTTCAAGGCTTTATTTGTTTTAGCCGTCCTCAAATTACAATCTTTCAGACGGTCACGATTGCAGCCAAGTATGATTAAATGGATTCTATTTGTTAATGATTTAAGGGATCTTATCCATGAAGGAATATGTGCCAACGAATATGATGACTTCCGATACACTTATTTAGCCTATTTAATATAAACCATGATTGTTGTTCTAACGAACTAAATATAGTATTTATTTTTTCATCGTAAAGGGTTATGTTCATATATGGTTTCGTCTCCTAAGCTGCAACGTGTTGGCATGACGCCTTTATTTTTTTTTAATTCCCCACCAAGATATAGGAATTGGAATTTAATAAAAGTAAATGATACAAAAACTATGTTTTTCGAAATATGTATTTTATGAAAATATACAAAGTTCAACCTAAGGAAAGCAAGCTTGTCGGTAAGATATCTTGGGCTGCCTCTTAGTGAGCGGTCTAAAGGTTTAGATATCAGCTGTTCCCGTGGATTTAAAAGCATCTATCATGTATCATATATGGTTCGCAATCTCTACGCGATCATCTCAAGTAATATTAGTTTATGGAGCTTTGCATGTTTGCTCTCAAAAATGTCTTTAAATCGAAGAAAATTTTAAATGTTTTAGGTAAAAGGTTGGACTAATGATCTAATTTTACACAAAGAGATTTGTATAACACCAGATGGGCTATACATCTCTCCGCAAACAAAATTCGAAATCTATATCTCGCTAAAATAAA